GTCTGTTGAACAGATCTGATGTAGCTGTAAAAAACAAAAAATTGACACCTTCAAGGAAATGATTAATGGCATTCATTAAGCTGCAATTGCAAAATCAAAACAAAAAAAAATTACTTTAGTGCAAATCAACAAATTTGAAGAAAAACATCAAAACACTCAAAAATCACCAAACATTAAGAGATCGAGAGATAGAGAGAGAGATTATTGTTGGGAAATGCTACAGATTTTAAATCAAATAGACAGTGACTCATCACACCCCTCGCCTCCTACCAAAACCCTAGACGCCGCTAATAACCACCAATGGTTCCGCGCGGCCACAAATGCAAAAAATATAGAAATAAATCTGAAAACATAAAAATAAACGAAATTACCAACCAAATATAGATCCCGACGAGAGGAATCCAACGGTAGGTGACCCGTCAAATTTCGACGGGTGGAACACAAAATAAAACTCCGGCAAGACCACCGTTCTCGAATGAAAAAAAATTGCAGAAACAGATCAGCATTCGAAACCGAATGAAATCACCACCAAAAGAAAGAGCTCGACGAGAGGAATCCAACGGTAGTTAAACCATCGAATTCCGACCACCGGAGAGAGAGTTATGGCTCCGGGAAGCAATTTCGCCGGTGGGAGGTTTGTGGAGGCGGGATTTTGAATTTGGGAGAGAAGAAGAGAGAGACCGTGAGTGACTAGGGTTTAAAACTGATTTTAGAAGGGTATTATAGGAACTTCAGGGTAGCCCAGGGGGTATGTCAAAATATTTTCGAAATGAGGGGGGCTTCCCCTAAAGTGTAATCCACTTGATAGTTAGTTATATATAATTTGGAAATGAGGGGGTCTACAAAATAATCCATATAATATATTCCATTGAAAAGGGCATTTTGGTCCTCACATAAAAGGGAAGAAACCTACCTTATTATTCCCACTTTTATAGATAGTATAGATATAGATATAGATAGATTAATAAGGGCAAGCTATCCTCATCTCCTCTCCTCAGCCACTTATTATGAGACCAAATAACTACCCTTGAGTTATTTCATCAACAGTTTCATCAACAATTTCTAACAGCAAAGAAACAACTTTCCATTTCAGAAATGGCTTATGCTGCTGCGATTTCACTCAAGAATACATTGCATCACCTCTTATTCTCCAATCGTATTTCACTTGAAGATGATGTTTGTTCAAGGAGTATCATACTAGATCTCCACAGTCAGCTTTTTTCCATGGGAGATGTACTCAGAGAATTGGACAACTTCAGCTTCAACACCAGGTGCAACTTCAACAGAAAACGAATCAATCTTTTGGATGAACAAATCAGAATATTATTACAGGAATTTGAGGATGTAATAGAATCCCATATTTCACCTCAGTTTCTGTCTCAATATTCTCAACAACTATGTCCATTGTTGTTCTCTCTCCACCTGGATGATGAACTGAAACAAGATGCTGATTCCTTTATCGAAAAGGTGAAGAAGATGAAGGCTCTTTACATTTACGAGCTAAACAATTCTCCACCATACAAAGAAGAAGAAGAAGAAGAAGAAGAAGAAGAAGAAGAAGATGATAAAGCTTTAGATAATGATGATGAGTCATCCGGTCAGATGGTTGGATTATCTGATCAATTAATCGAAATCAAACGTCTGCTTGCGTTGCCTTATCGGAATCAAATCACGCTCTATGGAATGGCGGGCATTGGTAAGACTACTATTGCCAGGAAATTCTTTCAAGATCCACTAACTTTGAGCACTTGCACCAAACGGGCTTTCGTGACCGTAGGCCCGAAATATCGCTTCGAAAGAGTCTTGCTAGATATTCTAAAACAAGTGACTCATCACGAGGATTTTGATGATGATGATGATGATGATGATGATGATGATGATAAAAAAAAAAGTGCTAATTACAGAGTCATTGGATGGCTTGAGAAGAATGGTTTACCAAAGTTTAAAGGGTCAACGATATTTCATCGTGGTGGATGATGTATGGGACTACAATTTTTTGTCATATTTCAAAACTTTGTTAACAAAGGAATACACGGAAAGTAAATTAGTGGTGACAACTAGGCTAAAAAACATGGCAGATGGTGATTTTAGGTATCAAATTTCGAATGACAAATGCTTGATACGATTCCTGAATAAGAAAGAAAGTTGGGAACTACTTCGTCACAAGGTGTTCGATGAAATGCCTTGCCCTAATGAGCTGGAGAAAGCCGGAAAGAAGATCGCTGAGAATTGTGAAGGTCTTCCTCTTACGATCGTTAAGGTTGCCCAAATCCTATCCGAATCTGACAAGACCGCAGAGTACTGGAACGAGGTAGGTGCCGACAAAAGACATTCGGTTTACGTGGATGCGTATGATCGAATGTACAAGGTGCTCTATCCAAGCTACGACTACTTATCTCAAGAATTGAAACCAATCTTTCTCTACATGGGAGTTTTCCCTCAAAACTACGAGATTCCCCGCTCCAAGCTCGCCAAAATTTGGGATGTGGAAGGATTTTGTGTTGGACATCAATCTCCGGCGAAATTGGATGAGCTCGATTCGAGTAGTCTTATCATGCTCCACGAGATTGGCTTCCGTAAAAGAATAAAGACTTGCAGCCTTTATTCACCCTTTTGGCATTTGTGCAACAAAGAAGCTACGAAAAGCAAGTTTTTCCATGCCTTGAATAGTCTCGCCGATGGTTTAGCAGAAGAACGTCTAGAAAGCCACCGTCGATTGTGCATTCGCAATAACAGTTTATTTGCCATTAAAGATGTTTATGATAAGATGTCTTCTGTTTCAACGGTACGTTCTCTCCTATGTACCGGTCCATATCATGAATATCCAGTACCGGTATGTTTTGGTTTCAGGTTGCTTAGGATACTCGATGCTCTAACCGCTCGGTTCTATGAGTTCCCATTGGAAGTAGTTAATCTAATTCAGCTTTTGTACCTTGCCCTTACATTCGAAGGAAAGATCCCTTCTTCCATATCCAGACTTTGGAACCTTCGTTACTTAATTGTTCGTCGACATTTGAGCATCGTTAAATCTAAAGGGAATTCTTTGTATATGCCTACGGAGATATGGGATATGAAAGAATTGATTCATCTTCAAGTCACAGGGAGCAATCTACCGCACCCTCGTCAAGAATCTTTCTTGGGAAACCTCTACACAGTTTTAGACGTGGGCTCTCAGAGTTGTACCAGAGATGTCTTTGAAAGAATACCTGGTTTAATGAAGCTAGGTATCCGAATCGAAGTGGGGCCCGCTGATGATGTGGACGAACCGTTTAGATGCTTCGATCATATTTCCCATCTCCATAATCTACAGACACTTAAATGTGTCATTGTGAATCCTAGAATCATATCCAAGGTTGTCGCTCCTCTTTCGATCTTTCCATCAAGCCTTAAAAAGTTGACTTTGACCGGCGGATTTGGATACCCTTGGGAAGAGATGAGCAAGATTTCTTTTTTGCAGAACCTTACGGAGCTAAAATTGAGATGCTACGCTTTTCGAGGACCGAAATGGAAAGTTCGTCAGCATGAATTCCAAAAGCTTCGATTTCTTTTGATCGAGGACACTGATCTGGTGCAGTGGACGTTTGAAGATCATCGTTGCTTCGAAAGTCTGGAGATTCTTAGCGTAAAACATTGCTACAAATTAGAAAGAATCCCTATGAAATTTGATGAACGTCTATTGAAGATTGAACTAGTTGACTGCAACCCTCTGGCTTTGACCAAGTTAAAGGAGGACCGGGAAAAAGATAAATTTTGTCTTTCGGGTGCAAATCTAAATATCCATTCTTCATTGGATGAATGATGGGAACACCAATTAGTGTCTTTCTTTGTATGAGTATTAGCATGCAAACAATATATTGTACGGTTATATATATATATATATATGTTTGATCCACCACTTTTTTGCTGTCTTTCGTGAATGCATCGGTTCGTGTGCTATAACTTTCATATTCGTCACGCAAAATTCGCAAATTATCGAATTTATTGTTATCTATTTCCAGTAGTACCTGCACATGCACATTGTCACGTGATCATAAATAGGGGCTCTTTGAGTAAACCCCCTCATTACTTGTTTTAATGGAGAGAGGTCCAAAATATTTCTCTCCATGTGAGAAAAGTTCACACTCATTTTGAGCCATTATGTTTTGCAGCTTTGTCCCTGCCTGCCACATCATCGCTGGGTCACGCGCTCAGCAATTTTTTTTTTTTTTCAGTTTTTTTTTCTTCCATTTTTTTTTCCTTCTTTTCTGTATCAGTTTTCTTAATCGACTATGAAGTATAGTCGATTAGCCTTAATCGACTATGCTTCATAGTCGATTAAGGAAATTCTTTAATTTTTTTTTTTGTTTTTTAATTTTTTTTTCTATATCAGTATATTAATTGACTATGATGAAGCATAGTCAATTAAGAGTTTGCTACTAAAAATAACAAATCAAAACTGCAAAATCAACTATATTTTACAAAAACAAAAAACATAAGAACATTATAATTGATTTATACAATTCGAATCAATAAACAAAAAATTCAAAAAAAAAATGGGAGTCGATCAACCTTAATCTACTACCAGAGCATAGTAGATTAAGAATCTGCTAATAAAAATTACAAATCACAACTGCAAAATAATGCAAAATCATCTACATTTAACAAAAATAAAAAATATACCAACATTATAATTGATTTATACAATTGGAATCAATAAACCAAAAAAAAAAAAAAAAAAACTGGTGTTGATCAACCTTAATCGACTACCAGAGCATAGTCGATTAGATTAATCGACACTACTAAAAAATTAGCCTTTAATGACGCCTTAACGGCACCTTATTATGACAGGCTTTAAAATGGGCCACAATAGGTATTCTATTGAGACGCCTCTACGGATACCTGTTTCTTTTTTATTATTTTATTTTATAAAAATATATTTAATGACGCTTTTGATAAATCGTCATAATATATTATGTCTATTGAGAATTTTTTTTAATACCCGTTAATACGCGTAAAAAATAAATAAATTCTAAAGTTAACCTATTAACAAATTTTTAAATTTAACAATCCCCAAACAAAATTTTCGCCCTATTCTTCTGCCCTTTCCCCTCTTCTCACCAACGTGCAGTCCCCAATTTTAACTGCAATTTTGGTTTTTATCCAACAAATTGCAGACTCCAATACCCCGTCAAAGAAGAGGATTATTTTCATATTTGGGCAACAACATGTTCGTTCATGGAGATTTCATCGAGATAGATTGAACACTCAACACTGTATCTAATTTCGGATACGGATCGAAGAATCCTATTTTTTTTATTCGATTTCATGGAGATAGGTTAGTAATTATGCTTTTCCTCTTATAGTTTATCCCTAATTTTAGTTGAATTTGTTATGCCGCAATAAATCTGAGTGCGCCATGACGAAGAAGCTCGATAGTCATTACCCCGCCGTAAATTTTTTTTTTCTCTCCTATTTGTTTTTTACCTTATTTGACTTTCCTTCTGTTGTTGCCCTTTTTTTTATCATTGGGTTTGAATTGTGCTTGAATTAAAAAGCTGAAAATTCAATATGTGCAGCTTGTTTGTTTGGGGTTAATGATTTTATTGATGATAATATTTCTAGTTTTTAGTTGATTTTAAATTTTATAGATTTGCTGAGATGCATAGAGTATCTATTGTATTTTACTATTTATTTAATTGCTTCTTGTATTTAATTTAGTTTATATAACATATTTTTCACATTTGCTAATGATCTAGTAAATGAACTAAAGCTTAAGATAATGAATTTGTAAGTTTGAGTGCTTCGTTCTGATTGTGATTGTTGTTTGTGCAAATTTAATGGTTTTGTTTTTAATAGTCACATATGTTTTTTTGAGAAAATTAGGTGTATCTTATTTGTAAGGTAAAAAAACTTTTCATCTTAAGCAATGTATAATGGTAATTATAATTATTGTATTAACATTAAAATTCAAGGACATAATTTTTAATGCTTGGATTTTTTAATGTTTGATGTCCATTAACCTATTTTGAGTACATAGTGTTGCTAGGAGATGCTAAAACATCATAAAGATGTTGGATGAACATTCTTGTATATTTTGATTAATGTAGTTTTTTTATTAAAAAATGTTAATCATGGAACCTGGGCTGATATACTTGATATTTATTTGTTTGGAATGACAATACTGATGATTATTTTAACAGTAGTTCATATTTTATAAGTATACGTTCTAGTTTTGTTGGCAGCATATGGAACTTGAGGGGCTCACATGTATTCTATATAGTTTTACTTTTATGTTTCTCTATAAGATTTGATTACTGTACCAATTGACCATATGCACATAACCTGCATAACAAAATATTCATAAATGTATCTTATGAAGAACAACTTTCCGTGAGTACTAAAGGTTAATGTATTTTATGTGTTTGCTTTTTTATCTGTTTATACAGGAACAACTTTAAATCGAACATGTACATAGTCGATTAAAATTCCAGCCTGCGCGAATTTCTCTATATGCGCTGTTATCCGCCCGATCCACCAAAAAACCCTAAATATGTCTCCCCATCGTCACCACACCGCCGTCACACCACACTATTCATGCTGTTGTAGAAAATCCTCAAATAGTATGCGTGTTGTTTGGGAAACGTGATTTCTTCGACAGATAAAATTATAATAAAACAAATAGTATTTAATTACTCCATCAAATTTTAATGGAAATGATGAATTTAAAATAAAATCAAATCAATCGGTTTAAGAAAACAAACCGCATCGGCAACAGCTTGTTTGACGGGGTCTTCATATCGTCGAGTCGAAACCTCGTCGTCGCCAGCCTTCGCGGCCAGAGCTCCACCCCCAATATGTCCAATTGTGATGGTTGCAGCAGTTCTTCACCCAATATTTGTCGGAGCAGTATTTAACGGCGTTGGTCGAATTCTGATCGAGAAGAGAAGAAGAAGAAAGAACGAGAGAAGAGAGAAGAGAGCAGAAAGCAGAGAGAAGAGAAGAGAGAAAAGGAAAAGAAAAGAAATAACAACGGCGGAATATGATATGTCAAAATTTAGGCTTAAGAGTAAGGGTATAATTGGCAGGTTACCTTTATTAAAAATCCAAACTAACAACAAAAGGGGTTTTCTCTAATTATTTTTAGGTGGAGGATTTTCCTTAACTACATTTTCTAGATGAGGGGATTATTGCTAATTTTCCCTCATAAATAAGAGTGTAGTAATTCTAAATTACACCACCCCATCAAGGTAAAGTCAAATTACGAAAAACACTCTACTGTTTGCATAATTACAAGCACCCCTCAGCTATGTAATATCTTACGAAACAATCCCTCCGGTTAGTAAATTTAGGGGCGATGATGCGGTAAAATTGAACCGAAATTTCGGTACGCCAAAATTTTATTCCGTTTAGCGTTCGGTTCGATAAATAACCGAATTACAAATTTTTTATTTAAAATATTTTAGAAAAATGATTTTTTTTTTTAATTTTTTTTATAATTAGTTTTAGTTTAAATAATAATATACATATATAAAATAAAAATAAAAACTGAATATCACACCGAATTAATGGTTCGGCAATCGGCATGTACTGAATTTTCGCCCGGTTCGATTCGATCGGTTTACCGACCGAATGAACAACCCTAGGTAAATTTAACATCGTAAGAGTGGACGTGTAAGACAATACATAGTTCAGGGGTAATTGTAATTATACAAATAAGAAGGGTTGTTTTGTAATTTAACCTTACCTCTGGGATGACTATAATTAGCCCTAATAAATAAGAGTAGTTCTCTTAACTTCATAACGTAAGTACAAACTAATAGTCCACCTGTTTGCATCACACAGGGGACCTAATACTAACGGGGTACTTTTTGACATCGATGACCGAGTCACATAGCCAAATATTTTTCCTAAATTAACTTTGATAATTACTTAGCGCATATAACTTATATGATTGACAGCGTGTTCCTTCATTTAAAAAAAAAATAAAAAAAAACAAAAAATAACCTATATATCACTTTGATTCGGATGCCTTGGACTTCCTCTTTTCCAGGAAGAAGAATCCGAACAAAGACACAATCGAGAAAGCAGAGAAGCAAATCGACGCAATATCAAGCGACACATGTCGCCCCGTGATCGCTTGAATCTCGAACAAGTTAACGGCCTTGTGAGAATCCGTTGTCTGGCCATACGCCACCTCATCACCTTCCGAGTTTTGCGCATAGGCCCTTATAAAATAAGTAGCCGTCGGCACATCTCTCAGCACTGTCGACGTAAAAGTGTTGTTAGACGGAAAGATGTACGGCTTATTAGCAACAATCTTGTGCTGGCATGTTTTGTCCTTGACTAAATTATCAACCGTTTTTCTCCATCCTCGATCTTTCTGACTTATTGGTGCATAGCAGAGTTTGATTGTCACCGTTTTGTAGGAAGAATCGACGCCGGCTGGGAAAGTGGAGTTGAGTGACCATGTCACGGTGATTTCGTCTTCGCCGGCTTTTAGGACTGTAATAAGTTTCGATTTAGCGACAAAATTTTTAGATGACCCGCAAACATATTAGTATTACATAAAGCATGATTAGGGGGAAACAGTTTTCGTTCCTCAAGTTTCTCTAATTTCACATTTGGTCATCTATGTTCCCAAAAAAACACATTTGGTCCCTCGTGTTTCAAAAATTCAACACTTTTAGTCCTTTTCCGTCAATTTTCCTTTAAAACTAACTGAATCAAACGTGTTGCCATCACTACTGTAATTGACAAACTAACGATAAATTGACGGAAATGACCAAAAGTGTCAAATTATTAAAACATGAGGGACCAAATATATTTTTTATAAACATGGGGGACCAAATGTCAAATCGTTGTAAACTTGAGGGATGAAAACTATAAATTTCCCCATAATTAGGATATGTACCTTGAGCTGGTTGAGGTGAAGCAGTGACAATAAGAGTTTGCTGAAGAGAAGAGAAGGTAGCACCGCGACAGGTGGCGGCCGCCAAGCACGAAAGCACGAAAAGGAAAGCTCGAATCGCCATTGATTGGTTGGTTTGCTTCTTTTCTTGATATTGAACAAGTGATTATCTGATATATATATATATATATATATATATATATATATATATATATATAGAGAGAGAGAGAGAGAGAGAGAGAGAGAGAGAGAGAGAGAGAGGGGGAAGGCAATAAATTTATATTTAACATTGTGTTAAACACAAATGTTTGATCTTACAACGTAGGCCAAGAAAAAGTCAATTTTAACCGGCAGATTTTTTTGTCTGATTTAATGAAGGGTAAATTACAATGGCCCCTGGGTTATTGCAAAATTACGAAAAAACCCTTCATGTTTGGATAATTACAACTACCCCTCAACTATGAATCTTCTTACATGTCATTACTTGTGGTGTCAAATTCAACGTAATCTTCTAGATTTCGTGGAATATTCTCTAGTTTGTACTTGTTTGATGCAAAATACAGTTTCTGATGCACCACAATCTGATATATACAAGCTAAAAAACACATCTTACTGTCATCTTGCTTCAAAAATGTGGAGCTCGAAGAATGGCATAAAATGGGTACAAAATTGAGAATATTCCATATAATCTAGAAGATTCCACTAGATTTGACACCGCATGGGTGGATGGGTAAGAAAGTTTATAGTTAAAGGGTGTGGTTGTAATTACCCAAAAAGAAGGGGGTTTTTTTCGTAATTTGACCATACCTCAGGGGTGGTTGTAATTTACCCTTTAATGAATGGTGAAAAATGAAAATTGGCCCAAAAGTGTTCAAAGGATGCGCTTTGGGATCTACTTTTTAATAGTTGACTTGGACTAAAACGGTAATACATTCTTGGGTAGTTGGGTGCATTTGACTTATTTTTCCAGATATGTGGTCATAAATCATAATAGGGTCTTTTAGATGTACGTAAGAGTAAAGCCAAAGGCATATATCATATGAGAAGCTGCAGCTCGATTGTTGGCAGTTGAAAATTTAATGTGTAGCATGTATATGTCGACTTATGTTTGTCAAAATTCAAACTTACTGCAAACACGTTCACACACACACACATACACTAAACAACAGCAAATACGACAAGAAGAAGAATGCAAAAGAGAATCCAAGAGGCACAATTTGAGAAGCCTTTTTCACACTTGAGGGACGAGATTAATTACATCTCTTTTTATTTAAGGGCTATTAGCTATATATATATATATATATATATATATATAGGGGAAATATGCAATAGCCCCTCAAATTGAAAATATTTTGAACTAAACCCAATTGACTATTAAAGACTTTTGCCTACACCCAAGTTTCATTCTTAATTAGTGAGACACCCCTAACCATACATGATAAGACTAAAGTGCCCTTATGTGATTAGGTTTTTTATAATTTTTTTTGAAAATAATCGAATTTTAATTTCAAAATTTCAAAACGTCGTCTAAGATTTCGGCGTCGTTTTAATTATTTATTTTCCATATGGTTCTGAATTCTGATACCAAACATCATGCAAAAATCATAACCTACCACACGTTATTGGAAGCTGACAAAATGTTTTGTAGAGGGGTAGGTGGTGGAGATTGGGTGCCTTTTAGCTAACATGTTATATATATTAATATTTACATTATTAAAAATATAACATGTTTATTTATATAAAAAATAAATAAAGAGTAATTGAAAAAGAAAATCAAATAAAAAAAACACAAAAAAAAACAAATCATGTTCCCCAACCTCGTCGCCGCCCTTCGTCGGATGCGTTACATGGAGATTTCATTTTTTTTCCTTCTCTCGATTTCTCAATTTTTTCTTCTTCTTTTTTTTTTCTTTTTTTTTCCTAGATTTGTCCACCACCGCCACCGTAGCCACGTCCCCACTCTCTCTGTCATTCACTGTCGTTGTCGTCGCCTCCCCAGGTTTTTTCGATTTTTTTCTTTTTTTTATTCTCTCCAAATCTGAAACAGCAGCATCAACGTGACTACTCTGGTTCGAATATGACTATTGTTGATTCACTCGATTAGTGATTTATTTATTTCTCGTGTTCGTTGTTTCTCTCGATTTCTCTCTCTTTACACCACCATCGTCTCCACATAAATTTGTACACAACCATTACCGTCGCCGCTCGTTGCCGCCGCCTCCTCATTCGTTTCCACGTAAGACTCTTTCTCTCTTTTTCGTTATCTTTCTCATTTTTTTTTATTTTTTTTTCCAGATTTGTCCCCCACCACCACCACCGTCGCCGCCTCTCTCACTCTCTTTACTTCACCACCGCCACCATCGCCGTTGTCGTCGACTCCCCATGACTCTCTTTCGTTATTTTTCTATCTTTATGTATTTTTCGAAAAAAATTTTCATAACAGGACTATAGTCATGTTCGAATATGACTATAGTCATATTTATGTATTTTTTGAATATGATTGTAGTCATATTCGAATAACTATATTCAAAATTGGTATTTTTTGTGTGAATTTTGATTGGATTGTTTTCGCAAACAATAGGGGAATCTTCTTTGTTTTATATAATTTGGTAAACATGACTATACCACATTATATAATCGAAATTTTTAAGTTGAAAATATAAAAAAATGCAATATAAAGAAAGAATATGTCTATATAGTCACATAAAGAAAGAATTTGTCTATATAGTCACAAATAGCCTCTCTCACTCTCTTTACTTCACCACCGCCACCATCGCCGTTGTCGTCGACTCCCCATGACTCTCTTTCGTTATTTTTATATCTTTATGTATTTTTCGATTTTTTTTTTCATAACAGGACTATAGTCATGTTCGAATATGACTGTAGTCATATTTATGTATTTTTTGAAGATGATTGGAGTCATATTCGAATATGACTATTGTTGAATATGACTGTAGTCATATTCGAATAACTAGATTCAAAATTGGTATTTTTTGTGTGAATTTTGATTGGATTGTTTTCGTAAAACAATAGGGGAATCTTCTTTGTTTTATATAATTTGGTAAACATGACTATACCACATTATATAATCGAATTTTTTAAGTTGAAAATATAAAAAAATGCAATATAAAGAAAGAATATGTCTATATAGTCACATATAGGACTGTTTAACTATAGTCATATTCGGAGTTGTAAATCTGTCAAGAAAAAAAGAATCAATTTTTTGTTTAAAATTAATTTTTTTTTATTAAAAAAATATTAAAAAATAAAATTAAATGAAAAATGGCTAAAAAATCCGAAAATAATAAAAAATAAAAAAAAGTATATTTTTTTTTTTTGATTTGGTAGCAAATTTTTAGGAATTTGGAAGGAGATTTTTAGGAATTTGGAAGGAGATTTTTAGGAATTAGATTATTGCTATGGAAAGAGAGAAAAAAAGGAATAATTTAGACTAATTATCCTAATTGACATAAGGGTACAATTGGGAATACAAATTCTAGGGGGCTATCACAAAGAAAGATTGAAGGGGTGGACATATCACCATTTATTATCTATATGAGGGGTTTATTGCTAATGACCCCATATATATATATATATATATATATATATATATATATATATATATATATATATATATATATATATATATATATGCTAATAGCCCTTAAATAAAAAGAGATGTAATTAATCTCGTCCCTCAAGTGTGAAAAAGGCTTCTCAAATTATATATATATATATTAGAATCAATTTGTTGAATGTTTGCAAAGACAAGTTTTGCTTTTATTTCTAATATGTAACAATTTTTTTGGGCTTTAAAAGTTGCATTGGAATACTTGTATCATTATTTTCATCAAAATTCATTGTGTAATGGCATGTGAAATATCTTATAAAAATAATAGAAAATAAAGTTTGTTTTAAAATTGATTTTTCAAAACATTTGCAACCACTTCCAATTCAAACAAATAAGCAACGAATAGTGTCCCGCAAGGGATGGTCTAGTGGTTGAAGTAAGTGAGTCTTTATCAAATGACTCAGGTTCAATTGTATGGTTTGCAAGCTATTATACAAGAGTATAGGTTTACCCAATGCACATATATGGTTGGCGTACGATTGTGACACATCGATCACGAGCTACAGATGCATTTCTGCCCTTTCCAAGCTCGTTCACACTCACCCACTTGACCTACTTTGGGATCGTACCTCACGCGCCCTCCTCGTATTGTAAAGTCGCCCGAACACCACCGCCACCTCAATAGTGATCGAGCCATTTAGGCCTCTTAAAACATATATTTTTAAATATCATCTTAGTAAAAGACAAACAATAGTGTGTTCTTATGATTTTTGAATATAAGATAAAACACAATTATCCAATATGTGATTTTCAAATAGAGAGATAAATTCAAACTGTATCATAGTTTTCTTTTTAAAATTTGCGTTTGATCACTTATATAGCCATGTCGAAAAAATGGAGCTAATAGCAAAGAACCCAATGTGTTATTTCTAATTGTTGAAAAAGTCTTTGTGTTAAAAAAAATTAACAAAAACCCCCTATGTTTTATTTTAAAAAACACAGAGCCCCTTATTTTAAAATTAGTTGTTGACATACGTGAAATGACTCTAATATCCCTAGTTAGTTTATAATAATATTTTAATTTTATAAAACAAAATAAAAGAAAAAATAAAATTAATATAAAAAAAATAAAATAAAAAAGAAAAAAGAAAATGGACTATATCTTCTTCCCATCACCCAACCGCTCAACCCAACCCACCCAACTTTTCATACCACATCCGCTACCGCGCCACCTCATCCGCCGCCGCAGCACCACCACTTGAAACACATTCTTCTCCATTGAACTTTGGGTTATCGAGATTGGTGAATTTCAAGTTTTGGGTTACCAAGAATGGTGAAGTTGAAGATCAAAATCAAATTTTTTTCTTCCATTTTTTTACATGGAAAAAGGGGCTTAATCTTCCCCTTGTCTTCTTACGGGTCTGATTGGTTTAGGTAAAATGGTAAGTAAAAAGGTGAAATCTCCGAGTAATTTAATTTTCCTGTTTGGATTAAAGGTAAAATACTGTGTAAAGTAATTGGGAGAAAAAACGGAAAACTTTTTTAGCTAAAAATGAGGAAAAACCAGTTTCCCCCAAAAAAATGAGGAAAACTG